TTCCTCTCACCGGTGGAGGAGGTGAGTGTGGGTGGCCCTGCCTCAGGGTTCAGGCTTTGGCCAGGTTGTCTCGGCCAGAGGTCATGCTGCTGTGGCGTGCCCCCTGTGGCTCCCCCCACCTCCCTGTTTAACAGGGTCTTGTCCCCTGCAGTCCGTGGTTCGGATTTGCTGCGTCCGGAGTTTCGGCCACTTCATCACCCGCTTGCAAGGCAGCATCCTGCAATTCAACTCGGAGCTCGGGATCTTCATTAGCATTGCCCAGTCAGAGCAGGATAACTTGCTGCACCAAGCTGAGGCCCAGTTCCACATGGTGAGTCAGAAGAAGCTAATTCTCTGGGCAGCCACCTGAACCCAGGGTTAGCTTCTGTTCCAGTTAGTAGGTATCTACATGTCATCCGGTTCCTCTCACTTGAGTCCTTGACAGGACCTTAGTACATTTCCTTTTGTGACACACTGCCATGTTATTAGTGACTTAGTTTCATGGCTAAGTTGTCATGCAATGAGAAGCCCATCCTACCTGCCTGCTCCTTGAAATTCAGCAGTGTATGTGCCTTATAATGGCCTGTGCATGCACCAGTATGCACACAGCAGAGTGCCCGTGCATGCCCTCAGCGCCTGTGTATGGCAGCTACCTTTTCTCATTTCCACCCAGCTCCTGTGCCTAGTGTGAAGGAAGGTTGGCTATGTTCCTGTCTGCAGGAACAACAATGCAGTTAGGTCTGTTACTGTCCAGACTTGCTTGCTTCTAAGAGGATAAGCTGTACCCCCCTGGAGCACTGCCTGAAAAGTCCCAAATAGCTGGTGTGTTAATAAATCTGCCTTGTGCTTCTCAAGAGAGATGCAGAATGCACAGCCCTGGAGCTTGCAGCACAGCAATTCTGTACTGCCCCTCCAGCCCACTTTCATTTCAAGACAGGGGACTCTCTTAGCAGGGAGGTGGAAGTCCTAGAACCATCTCTTAGGTCTGTGGACAAAAAGGCCAGTAAAGCTGATCAGGGTGGTAGTAGTCTTTTGCATTGTGGATGCCTTTCTGGTTTGGAGGCTGAGGCATGAGACTTGTGAGGAGAGGCTGAGGGAACTGGCTTATTTACTCTGCAGAAGAGAAGGGATTGATAGCAGCCATCAGCTCCCTGAAGGGGGGTTGCAAAGAGGATGGAGCTGAACTGTTTTCAGTGGTGGCAAATGGCAGAATAAAGAGCAGTGGTCTCAAGATGCAGCAAGAGAAGTTTAGGTTGGATGTTAGGACAAACTTTCTCACGAGGAAGGTGTTGAAACACTGGAACAGGCTATCTAGGGAGGTGGTGGAATCTCCATCCTTGGAGGTTTTTGTAAGGCCCAGATAGACAAAGTCTTGGCTGGGATCTAACTGGGGCTGGTATTGCTTTGACCAGGCGGTTGGACTAGATGTGTGACCTCCTGAGGGGTCCCTTCCATCCCTCATTTTCGATGATTTTTGTCAGAGCTACTTCCCATGAGCCACTAGCCCACAGGAACACCTTTGGCCTGAGTGAAGCCAGTGCCCTACAGATGAAAGCTTTCATTCCCAACCCCCCAAGCCATTCAGTTCTCTCCCATTTTTCATCTCTTGTGACCCCTGCCAAGAGCACCTTGTGCTTTTCCTACTCATTTTATTTATAAGCTTATTTTTCTAATTAGGCTGCTGAGGAAGCTCGTCGGAACAGATTAATGAGAGACATGGCTCAGCTACGACTGCAGGTATGGGACCATGCTCCTCACTGGCTGCCTGGCCTGGTGACTTTGTGTGGCCAGCCTTATGCATGAGTAAACCTGGTCTGCACATCTTATGCTCAGTGCACTTACCTGTGGGAGAAGAGAAACCCTAGAAAAAGTCGTACTGTCTGCATGACTGCAGCTAGAGCAGGGTTTCAGCGGCCAGGATTCCTGGTCTTGTTGCTGACTTGTTCCATGACCCTTTTTTACCCAGCTGGAATGGGGTTAAAGAGGTTTCAAAAAGCTTTGTAGGACTCCCTGAAGTTGGGTAGCTGGATGTGTAAGGCACTATAGTTATGAAGTATCATTATTATTAAATGCTCCTATAAGGAGGCTCTTGCTAGCTGTCCTTCAAAAAGACGCACCAGACCTATCATGTGTTTCTAGCAGCTGACAAAGTAGGTTGTTGCCCATAAAACCATATGCCTTTCTAAACCAATTACTCCAAGGTTCAACCCTGCCCTGCCTCATATATCCAGGGTACAGATAGGTTTGAATGGCTCATTCTGTCAGTTAAGTAGGGAGAAGAAAAATCTGCCCCTGTATCAGGCAGTGTATGGAGTGGGTGCAGGCTCCTCAATAGAGTTACAGGAAAAATATGCATAGTTTTATCTATGTGGGTACCAGATGGGATCAACTATATCACCGTGGAGACTGTTGTTTAAAGGCAGAGGGTTGAACTTCCTGCAGGGTTGGAGGGAGAGAGCTTTTGCCATCCACTGGATGAAAGCTGTCAGGCAAGATTGGGTGGGCATGTCCTGGCTGTATGGTGGGGAGTAGAAGGTATCATCATGGGTCCCTTGCCCTTTGGTTTCCATGCAGACACCGGGAGAAGTTCTTAATCTCGTGCTGTTGCTGTCCTATTTCAGCTGGAGGTTTCTCAGCTGGAGGGGAGTCTGCAGCAGCCCAAAGCTCAGTCTGCCATGTCCCCTTATCTCGTCCCAGACACCCAGGCTCTCTGCCAGCACCTTGGCATCATCAGGCAGTTAGCCAACAGTGGGCGGTTCATCCTCATCATCCCTCGAACAGGTAAAGCAAGCTGCCTCTTACCACCTGGTGGAGAAACTTGGCTTGCACTGGTCTGAAGGGAGTAAAAGCCAAAGGCTTTGACTCCCACTGAGAGATTTTTGACTCCCACTGACAGCCAAAAAGAATTAGCACTGATCCATAGCCAAGGACAGTGTTTGCTGTTGTGGGGTGAACTCCATTGAGATTTGGTTTGCATAGGGACGATCCTTCCTCAGACAGGTGGTTGGACTAGATGACCTGTGGAGGTCCCTTTCAGCCTGATTTCTCTGATGCTATCGGTCATGGCCTTTAGATTCTCAGCAGAGGCCTGCCTGTTAGTTCAGAGAGGATTTTCCCTGCCAAAATTGTCCAACGAGCTTGTATAAATGCAGAAAATAAATATTGACACCTTGAAAGCTTAGAAAAGGCGCATTTCTATGTGTTTGGATGACAGCTGACATAGCTGATGGTGGGTGAAGCCTGTGTGTCCAACCTATGTTACCGTGTGTTTGGCCCACACTTAATGCCTGGAAGAAACAGATGGGAGGTCCGTGTCTCCATGGGTGTGCCCCCACTTCCCTCAGGGAAGGGTCTTACCACAGCTGGATCCACCTGGCAAAATGTGGCTCATTTCTCCCTTCCACTTTCTGCTAGTGATTGATGGCTTGGACTTCCTGAAAAAGGAGAATGCGGGTGCGCGAGACAGCATCCGGTATTTGGAGGCTGAATTTAAAAAGGGAAACAGGTAAGAGCAGACTGTTCTCTTTCCCTTGGTTTTAATATAAAACCTTGACACCATGGCTACCACCAGACGTCCAGCCAAGAAACATGGGTGCAGATGCAGTGCGGTGCCCTCTCATAACACTTGTACAGTTTGCTTGCTCAGGAGTGAAATGCAGCTGCTTCTAGGGTGCGGTGTTGCAGCTGTTAGCTAGCACCTGACTCTACCCAGCATCTTAGGATGGGACTCGAGGAACTGTTTCTCTAACTGAATTGCAAGCGAATATTAAGCAGGCAGAATATAATAACCTCATTGTCTTGGCCAAATTCCCATAAGAATGAAATGGCTGAGCTGCCCACCACACATGCAGACTCATTAAAATTAGCTGCTCTACCAGCGATCAGACAGTTGCCATCTCCTAATCAAGAAGGGAGGTGGAAACATCAACCTCCATTATAATGAATCAATAATACACAGATTAATCCTGGTAGGCAAGCCAGCAGGGCTTCCTTAGAGGAAAATTTGAGAGTCATTCTTGTAGCACTCATTGAATCAACAGAAGAGCAGATAGATGAGTCATGTGTTTCTAATTAGGTGAACTGAGGCCCCTGGCTCACATTTATTTAAACGTGCAATGGGCTCTGAGCCCTGGTCCTCCATCACAACAGTAGTGTCTCCTGTCATTCCACACAAGAGGCACAGTTTTGGGAGTGGGGATCAGATTCCAATCATGCCTTACTTGCCAGTTCCAAGTGAGCCTGGGATCATGATCCTGAGCAACTCCTGCCCCAGCAAGTGGAAAGCCAAGTGTTTGCAGGTCCAGGCAGGGGCCAGCAGCCACTGATTGTTGACTTCAAGCTGCTTCTTTTGCTTTCAATATCAACCTTAGCCCTTTTAACAACCCCTGTGTAGACTCATTGAATCCTGTCTCTTCCCAGGTACATTCGCTGTCAAAAAGATGCTGGGAAAAGCTTTGAGAGGCATAAATTGAAGAGACAGGATTTAGATGCCTGGTAAGTTTCTGGCCTAGTGCATGATTTTAGATGTCTCACCTCTTCACTGCCTGCCTGTGAGGTGGGTTTGGGGATTAGTCTCGGGGGCTGTTGGATTTGATCCTGTTCCGGTCGCTGTCAGATTTCCCAAACAAGGGGCAGTTGTGGTCCCAGGACACCTGGGTTCTATTTCCAGTTGTTTCATAAACTGCCCTGTGTGACGCTGGGCAAATACCTTACCCTCTGTTTCCTCTGCCTCTATTTTCCTATTTCATTGCAAACTTTCAGAAGTTGAGATCTGCCTTTCACTTCATATTTACAGGTCCTAGCACAATGGGACCATACTTTTAGTTCGGGCTTGTAGGTCGTACTGTAAAATGGGGCTTAGACTGGCTCCACCACCTGCAATTCACTCTGCAGCAGCCTGTACCTCTTCCAGATTTCTAAGCCATCACCCTTTGCACAGATGGCTAGTAACTGAGTTTTATGTTTTACTTCACTGTGGCAGGAATCTCTATAAAATATTGGATAGCTGCAAACAGCTGACAGTGTCACAGGGGAATGGAGAGGATGACACCACAGGGATGGTGACCATCATAACTGGCTTTCAGCTGGACGACCCCAACACCTTCTCTTCTCCAATGCAGGTGAGTACCTTGCAGTAAAATAGCTCTGTTAAAACAGCTGACGAAATCTGTCAAAGTGCCAGGTTAGTAACAGTGCTTACAGTCTTACAGTATTTTCTGCCTAAGCTCATTCTTGGTAGCTAGCACCTGGATTAAATAAGTCTTTCCCTTTTTCTAGAGCCCCTTTTTCCATTCTGGTAGAGCAAAAGGGCCTTTAGGGAGAGCATGACAGTAATTCACACCACTTTACACCAGTCTGGTTGAGTAAGGGGGCTCAAAGGGGAATGAGAACTTGATCTCATTATGGACATTTGGCTGAGTTCAAAGCTGCCGAGGTGAGAACTTGGTTTGTTGAGAACCAGGGCCTCTGGCTAACCTTGCTCGTCTGAAAAAGAGTAAACTCTTCCCTCTTTTCCACATTCTCTTGTTACCCATCTCGCTCTCTTTGGGAAATTAAAATGCCCAACATTAGTTTGTACTAATGTGGGTGACATGTTTGGGGCAGTTCTCCCTATTTGGCCCACCTTGTCTATGGTGGAACTAAATATAGTGGGGAAGGAACAAAGGGTTTGAGAAGAGTATCAGGAAAGATTTCCCAGCCCTGAGAACTGCCTGTAGTGGAACTATCTCCAGGACACTAGGAAAAGCACCTGTTCTGCAGAGATTTAATGCTGGACTGAACATAGCTCTGGATCCACAGAATCTGGTGGGATTTATGGCCTGTTTTGGGGTGTTGCTAGGTTTTTCCATCCCAAACCTGGAGAGTACCATACTGATTCTCATGACTTATGAAACTCCCTAAAACTTTCCCCTGCTGTGGAACTAAAGATGGTCAAAAGCAGTGAAACAGAGAAATGGAGCAGCTTGCTGACGCTGCACAGGGACTTGAGGCTGGGTTCATTTCTTGGCTGTGCTCTATATCCTCTGGGCGAGTCCTCCAGTGTCTCTGGACCTCAGTTTCCCCATCTCCAACTCTCAGGGATACTGTGAAGCTAAATATGACAGTGCATGTAAAGTGCTTGGATAGGGCCCGATTCAGGTGCTGGCGTTTCCTGTTTGTTGCATGGGTGCTGGGTGGCTGTGGTGACAGCCACCTCAGGTACACAGACCAGTCCCCTGGCCCAGCCTCTGTGGCAAGGCAGAGCTAACCCTCCACATGTCCTGTTCTTGTTCACAGTCTGCTTTCCAGGCAGCAGCCAACGCCAGCGTGGAGATCAAGAACGTGCTGGAGTTCTACAAGCAGTGGAAGGAGATGGGTTGACAGGCCAGAGAGCGTGGCGTTGGTGTACCTTTCTCTCCCCCTCTCGGAAAGCACCGTGTCTGAACGAAGGGAGCTAAATCCCGGCGACGCAGACACGAAGCAGCAGCAGCCGCCGCCGCAGCAGCAGCAACCATAACCAAACCAACTGAACCGAACCCCGCCCCCCCTCCAAATCCAGCTCTGGGCACTCTCGCAAAACACCCGCTAGCTGCCCCCCCATCTGAGCAGATGACTGCTCGCCCCCCCTTGCAGCGCCGACTGCTCTGAGAACAGGGGGGCACCTCGGGTGCAGCCTGGAGAGGGCTGCCCTTCTTGTGGGCAGGGACGGGTGAGAGATGGGCTGCTGTCCATCCCCACCCTCTCAAAGCTTGCTCGGGCATCTGAAATGGGCAGGCAGCTTCTCCTCTGTAACTATTTAAAATGACAAAGAAAGCCCCAACACAGCAGGGAAGGAAAAGCTCCTGGGTTGGAGCCCTCGCTCTGTTGGGAACCTGGTGTAGGAAAGCGAAGGTCATCTTGCTTTTTTTTTTTTAATTATTTTTCCTTATTTTTTTTTTCCCCCCTCCTCCCCTTTTAAATTCTTAGTTTCTCGCTATTACAAATCCAGTGGAGTTCCTTTTGGCAGTTCTAAACACTTGTCACACCTTAACGAGAAAAAGGAAACGATGATGCT